ATCGTTATTATTATCATTATCATTATCATTATTATTAGTATTATTCTTATCATTACTAAAATAATCATTATTGCGGCACTCTATACTGGAGAGCCGAATTGAAGACTCCGCTCCCCACCAGCCGGAGGTTTGGCCGGAGACTTCCTGTCCTCTTCAACGTCTACGTCTGCCACTCCACCCTCGGACGCGTTAACGTTCAGGCGGCCGGATGGCGTGCCCTCTCCTCTGAACCAATCCAGGTTCAAATCTTCTTGCCTGTTAGTAAAGCTAGGAGGTAGAAGTAAAACAAAGTGGTCAGTTGTATTATGAGAGACGTCCTGGGTTTTAACCGGCCTTGTGCAAGATTTGAAAGTCTGAAATTAAATTTAAAAATTGTCTTTGTAATAATCAATAATCACTATTCTTCGCACTGTAAACGCAAAGATTTTTTTTAAAAAAATAATACCTTTAATAATTAAATTCTCTCGCAGGAGCGCAGTGCGTTGAGGGGCAAAATACGCTCCCTGCAAAAGCTGTAATTCTCTCTCCACTTCGCTACAGCAGAATTACAAAGTTATTATACATTTTATCTGCTCATTATCTAGTTTTGAGAAATTTGACACACGCACACAATATGTCAAGCTTTTGGAGTGTAAATCTTTGAACGTCTTGATAACGACTCAAATTAATCTTTTGACAGAGCAAATAGAACTTTTTTCTGACCTTATGGTCTTAGAAACTCAAAATGGCCTACAATATCAGATACAACTTAGCAATTCTGAAGTAGCGACTGGTCTCCGTTACATTCGTAGTAACCCGAACCTAGTAAAAGTAACATTTTGACAACCCGATTCCTAAAATCGTTGAAAACCTCTTAAGCACATGACGTCACAAGGAAATCCCAGATGTTAAAATAAAATAGGACTACTAAAACCATGTTTCCATCTCTCCTTTCTGATTCAAACTTCAAACTGCCAGAACCTAAAAAAGCAGAACGTTGTTCACAATGCGGCGCACTAACTTACGGTGTTGATGCGTTGAGATCCTACGTCCAGAAAAAGTTGTGTAATATAATATAAATATTTTTGGGGAGAAAGCTTGTTCAAGCGTGTAACAGAATCTCCGAAAAGTGTTTGGTTGAATAATGTGAGAACGTAGATAAGCAACACAAAAAACAAAACAAAAAACCATCCTATCGCTTTCCCCCCCTACCAATTCCTACCCCAAAAAAAGTTTTTATTTCAGTGTTGTTGTGTTTTGAAAATACTACAATTTTAAAACCATTTTAACATCTATCTATCTATCTATCTATCTATCTATCTATCTATCTATCTATCTATCTATCTATCTATCTATCTATCTATCCATCCATCCATCCATCCATCCAT